AAGTACTAAGAATTCATATAACATTCGTTGAAGAGATTAAAAATCAGCAGGTGGGTTGGAAAGGCAGTTTCAATAATAAGCATAGTCACATTTCAAAATGCAAAGAACATACTTTTTTGGTTTTAAAAGTTTGTTTGGTTTTAAAAATTTAAAAAATTATATATATATATATATATATATATATATATATATATATATATATATATATATATATATATATATATATATATATATATATATATAAAAATAAATTCACAAAAAAATTACAATTATTTTAAGACATTTTTTCTTTATAAACGTTTTTTCCTAGATAAAAATATTTTATGACGGTTCTGTATAGGATACAGGTTCGATTCCTGTCGGAGGACGCATATTTTCTATGAAAATTTTCTCTCAACATTCAGGCCGGTAATGTTTTTAATACTGTTTATTATAAACTGAGCAAAACAAATTACTTAAATATTTGTATCTATAAAAAATATACGTATAAACAATAAAAAATGTCTTAAAATAATTGTTAGACTTTGTCCATTTCATAATAATTTCGAAATATATATTTCTTGTTTTAAACCATATAAAATAGGTCAAGGTCTGGTCACTCCTCCTCCCCCAATACTAAGTATGATTGAGAGAGATATGAAATTAATCCTCCCTATACTCTACCATGTCTCTTTTTAACTACCCCTTTTTACACTCTCTGTTAAATTACAAAAAAAACACTACCCATCAATTTTAATTTCATTTTTCGTTTCATTTCATTTTTGGAAGTGCTATCTAATGATCCGGCGTCCTTTAAAAGGGGTCTTGTGAAATAAATTATTATAATGGTACCTTAAAGTGGTCTGTTTTTCTTTTAAAATATTAGCTCTGGATTTACATTGAGCTCATTGGATTTTATCCTCCTTGGGATTACCCATACGGATTACCAAGTTCTTCATAACTTATATATATATATATATATATATATATATATATATATATATATATATATATATATATATATATAACCTGTTACTTTTTTTAATAAAGAAATATAAATTCAAATTCACAAATTTAAATCTGGGGTACTATGCAGTAAATGCATTTTTTTTATCGGTCCTTTTGCCTTTTTGCAAGAATAGGACCCGTTCAATGAAAAAAGACAATTTCCCACAAACCAACGATAAAAAAAACGCAGTAGTCAATAAAATATGAAAAGAGTGTTTATTCTTTCTGTCAGGCTATATCAAATGGTCAACGGCCTAACACTGGTCCGCGGCCGAGAGGTTGGGAACCGCTACAGTACACAGTAATTACTAAGATACACTTTTTTTTTTTTTTTAAAAACCCTTTATTAAAGATTTTCTTATTTTTTATCATTTCTATCTTGATCTCTGACGAAGTTTTTTTTTTAGATAGATAGATAGATAGATAGATAGATAGATAGATAGAGTTTTCGTAATTGTACCTTTTTTAAAATATGTATTTCTGATAATTTTATTTATTTCTTATTAAAATGAAATAATAGTATTATATTAGAACTGGGCTTGAAAGGAAAAAATTCTCCTGGGAAGCAACATATGTTTAAAACAGATTCCGATGTAATTATTAGATACTGTCCTTGGGATATGAAATAAAAATGAAAGCGGCGGGTTTTTGATCAGGAGGTTTTGAGAAGCGTAATGAACAGAAAATTTCAATTTAGCTGTGTTCCCAGGTCTTTTTGACTCAACATGGCAAAAAGTTAAATTGGTTTCCACTTTGGGCAAATTTTAACCCCAAAAAAAGGTTCAAAGCTTCTGAATATTGCAAAAATAGTTTTAATACCAGAAATACTTTGTAAAAAAATTACCAGCTATACATTATTTTTGTAGGAAAAAATATTAACAGCATTACAAATTGTTGGCATTAACTAAACTGTTGTGGTTGATTTGCCGTAAAATAAACCAAATCAAACCAAACCATTGCATAGATAATAATAATAATAATAATAATAATAATAATAATTATCATTGAATCTATTCTTTACTCATATTGCCTCTTATAAAGATTTTATCTCATAATTGCTGGCCTTAAAGTCAGAAGTCGTCCTGGGCAGGACGATAAACTACATCTGGCAGCCAGGTAATCTGATAGGGAGATTGGAGTTTTTGAGGTGTTGATTCGATAAAATAAAAATAAAAATATCATCCGTGATCTCTTCATCAGTAGCTCTGCGTGATTTCATTCTTGACGGTGATATAGAGTAACGCCTTTTTTTTAAAAAAAATAATTACCCAGTGTTCATTATTGGCACACACAATTTTAACAAAATAAGAGACGCATATGACGCCGTGTTGATAGCAGATGCAGAAAGGAAATCACACGAACGCCTGCCAAAGAAAGGAAAAAGGAAACGAGAAATCAGAAGAGAGAATATATGACTGTCAGCAAAAACAAGAGCCAAAAATGTGACCAAAAAATTGGAGACACCGGAGTTGTCCTGAGTGTGACGATAAACTACATCCGGCAGCAAGGTCTCTGATCGAGAGATCGGAGGCTTTGAGAAGCGTGGAACCACATTTTAATCTCTGTTGTTCCTTATATACTGATCTCCGAGGTGTGGAAATTTTAAAATGTGCTATGGTGAAAATAGTGAACCCTTCCTCCGCCACCAAACAAGAATCAATAGCACATTTTTATAATAAAATGAGCAACAATAGAATTTTTATATCAAAGAGACAATCGAAAAAACACGAAAAAATATAAAAACACATTTTTATAGTAAAATCAGCAAAAATACATTTTATGATCTATAAACTATATACAGTCGTCCCTCGCCACTTCGCGCTTCGAATTTCGCGGTTTCACTCTATTGCGTTTTATTTATTTTTTTATTTTTAATTTTTTTTCAGTTCCGGAATGCACTTGATGGAGCAATGGGACTCTAAAAAAGACTCTTCAGGTAGATGAAAAGACGTTGTTTTTCAGCCGCGCACTCAGACACCCACCGTCTAGGTCTAGTATGCCTTCAGCTGAAGAAGACGACGAACCACTTAAAGACTCTTCTTCTGAAGTCGTGCTTTAGAGAAGCAGTAACCTTTGTTGTGCAGTACATCTCTTCATCGCTTCATCATCGAACAAGGTGCATTATTTTGCTAGATTCGAACTAACCCAAGAAAATAATTCAACTTGCTAGATGATGAATTAAAATCAATGGTATATTAAAAGCTTTTATAATATCTATTTTTAACGTAAATAATAATAATATGATATTTGTAATGTTTAATATGTCGTATTTTCTCTTTTTTGTCTAATATAAAAGATAATATAATTTAAAGTTGACTATAATTGTGACTATTTTATTCAAGAGAAAATTATAATGTCAAAAAAGCATTTAGATGGTCGTTACAGGTTTTCTATGCTCTAACAACGAAAATATTCGATTTATAAATATAGAATTCTACTTCGCAGAAATTCACTTATCGCGGTAGGGTCTTGAACTGGTTAACCGCGATAAACGAGGGACAACTATATCTAAAAAAAAAAAAAAACCCAAAAAACAGGAATTTTTAGTTGAAAGCATAGAATGACGTAGAAAATATATCGATTTCGGCATTAAATAAACCATATGATCCTAAACAAAATAACCCAACCAAATAAAGTCAGAAGAAAATAATTTTAATCTCAAGTTGCTACAATTGATATTTTTTCTTACTATTGATATAGCAAGGTTAAATTACTGTTTTTAAACTACAAACTTCACATGATTTCTCTCAAACGTTCATATCTACTCGAAGCGTATCTTAACGTCGGGGGACACATATTTTCTTTGAGATTTTTCGTACATTCAGGCCGGTAAATGTTGTTAATACTGTTTATTATAAACAGGACATTTACTTAAATATTTGTATCCATAAAAATAACGTATAAACAAACAATATATTAAAATAATTGTCGGATTTAGTGCATTTCATAATATATTATGTCATTTGATTAAATTAAGATACACTTCGAGTAGATATGAACTCTCTAGAGAAATCATGGGAAGTTTGTAGTTCAAAAATAGTAATTTAATCTTGCTAACCGGACATTTTTCTCGTCAGGCGATATGGCGGTCCTGTGTAGAAAACGGGTTCGATTCCTGTCGGAGGATACATACCTTTTTGAGATTTCTCGAACATTCAGGCCGGTAAATGTTGTTAATACTGTTTATTATAAACAGTGCATTTACTTAAATATTTGTATCTATAAAGATAACGTATAAACAAAAAATATATTAAAATAATTGTCCATTTCATAATATATTATGTTATTTGTTTAAATTAAGATACGCTTCGAATAGATATGAGCATTCAAGAGAAATCATGAGAAGTTTTTTATTAGGTTGGTGCAAAAGTAATGACGTAATAATGTCGTTTTTTGACGTACTTTTCGATGTCAAAAAACGACATTATTACGTCATTATTTTTGCACCAACGTAATAGTATTCATATATTGATGGGTTTTCCATTCTATACTGATTGGTTGATTTGGGTTTTTTTTACGGTTTATCAACCTTTTTAAAACCAAAAAATATTTTTAGATGTAAGAATCTTTTGGGGATACTAATGATTTACAGATATAAATCCTAATATTTAAGACGAGGCTGGTGGCGGGGGGGGGGAGAAGATGGATGCATAGCTTTCCCACGGTTATTTCTGCGTAATTCCCGACTGGAATCGGAATTTCTCTCCCCGATTTCCAGTTCCGTGCCGTTAGCCATTGCATCACCGCACATCCAAGTTTACAGCACTTATAAGCGGTCACTCATCCATGTACTGACCAGGCATGGTGTTGCTTAAATTTACTTTGTACAAGAACCGGTGTTTAAACATGACATGCTCGTAGGCCACACCACCTGCATATCCAATCTTGCACCACCTGGTCGTTCCAAGCGGTTACTCGTCTATGTACTGACCAGGCTTGACGTTGCTTAGCTTCGGTGATCCTACGAGGATCGGTGTTTCAGCCTGATATGCCACACCATCAGCACATCTAAGCTTACAGCACCTGATAGTCCCAAGCGGTCACTCATCTAAGTACTGACTAAGCCCGATGTTACTTAACTTCGTTGATCGTACGCGAACCGATATTTCAACGTGATATGCCCGTAAACCATACCACGGCACATCCAAGATTACAGAAGCTGGTAAGTTCCAAGCGGTCACCAATCTATTTAATGAAGCCGTCACCCATCTATTTAATGACCAAGCTCGATGTTACTTAACTTCGTTGATCGTACGAGAACTTGTATTTCAACGTGATGTGCCGGTAAACCATCCACAACACATGGTAATACGGGAACTGGTGTTTCACAGCATCTGTTAGTCCCAATTAGTCACTCATCTATGTACTGACAAATATCACCGTTGCTTAACTTCGGTGATCGTATTAGAATTCATTTTTTTTCTTTTTTTACAAGATAGGTCCTAGGCCCGACATTTCTATAATCTCAAGCTAACATAGTGATTTTCCAAGCGTAGCTCAGATATGGCACAAGGCCGAAAGTATGGGCACCCAGTGAGGATCGAACTCACTACTCAGTTGTAATTATTCTAGCGAGACAAGCTTGCTAACCATTACACCACCCCGAGGTGCCAATCTTAAGCTAACGTAACCCCCAGTGTCTCCCGTCTTTGCTCACATTTGGCGGGAAACGTAAACAAACATGCCGGTTGTTATTTAATATCACTAAGTTTAGTTAATTGATATTCGCCAATTAACGGTAATCATTTTAATCTTATTCATGATGAACCAGCTCCTAGTATAAAAAAATAAAATGGTATTTTTAAAGTAATCTTAATAAAGACGCATTAGGGAATAAAGCACGTGGATTTGCGGGTGGAAATGAGTAATTTTTTTTTTTTTTTCAAAAAAGAAATGAAATTCTGTATTTTTATTTTTCTCTTCAGTTTTTTTTTGTTGCTTTGTCTAGATCGGCCATTTTGTGTTTGCAGATAATTTTCAGAACTCCAATATGGCAGTGAATACTGGACAATGTCCTCACAGATGAAGAAGAGACGTGAAACAACAGAAATGTAATTCTACAGCAGGATGCTGAGAATGCCATGGACCAAACATGTGAGCAACAACAACGTTTTAGAGAAAAGAAAAACAAAAAACGACACTTATACTTGACATCAGGAAGAGACAGTTGGGGTTTCTAGGGCAGATAATGAGGAAAGAGGGCTCGAAAACTTTGATACTCACGAGACAGATTGAAGGCAAGATAGATAGAAGAAAACAACGCCCATGCTACCTAGCGAGCTGGTGTAAATGGATGAAGGAACAGGTTTTAGGAGAGATAGCAAAAATACAAAATATATTAAGAGCTATAAAGGACAGGATCGCTCACCTCCTGAAGAGATACGTCACATAAAAGAAGAAGTAGCAGAAATAAAAAAAGAAAGAAAGAATAAAAATAAAGAAAGAAAGAAAGAAAGAAAAAAGAAATAAAAGCAAAAAAGAGGAAAGAAATAGAGAAAAAGAAAGAAAGAAAGAAAGAAAGAAAAAAGAAAGAAAAAATAAATATAGAAAGAAAGAAAAAGAAGGAAAGAAGGAAGAAAAGAAAGGAAAAGGAAGAAGAAAGAAAGAAGATGAATGAAAGAAAGAAGAAGATGAGGAAAGAAAGAAAGAAAGAAAATCTTCAAAGATTTATTAAAAAAGATCACATTAATTGGTTCAAGAACTGTCCAGCAAAATCTTTTTCCGAGACGCCGATGTGATGAGACATTTTAATTCTTTGTATTGCTTATTATTATTATTATTATTATTATTATTATTGTTGCTGATCTTGTTGCAATGGTAATGCTAATACTAGCCGTTTCCTTGTAAGGAAACATTTGGCATTAATTCATAGTCCGGGCAGACAGCACTACCAGAGTTATGGCTTTCTTCAATCCCTGGCCTTCGGGCTGGGATCAAAGTGTAGTATCTGCCTTTCGGGCAGACAAACTAGATTTTATCTCTCAACTGTGTTCTGTCTTCGGATACAACACAACAAATAAATGAGGTCTGGTCCCGGAGATTCCAACCCTGCGACTGCACCTCCCTCTTTGCATCAAAGAGTGGGGTCGGTGGAATATCGACACCGGTGTGACATTGGTTGCGGGATCCCGGCATGTTTTGCACTTTCGGCGCCCCTCTTTAAGCCGGCCTTGTGCCATATCACCGTTAAGTGGGGGGGGGCGAGTAAATGCTATGTATAGTATCTGTTCTCATCATCTCTAATAATAATAATAATAATAATAGTAGTTCTTTTCATATACCGAAACAGAGCAGTTTTTTTTGTTTTTTTTTTTTATCCTCACCCCACAGACATCATCTGTGGGCTACTTACAACTTCATTGAGTAATTATAGCATTATGGTGTCTGTAAGAATGGTAAGTAAGAATTTATTGTTTTGGTGTAAGGAAAATTATAGTATATTTAAATCAGTGATTGTGGTTAGCTAAGTTTAAATGTAGGACAGATGAAATCCAGTCTTCCCCAATCCCTTATGGCCTTGTGCCATACCAGTACGTTTTAAGTACAATAAATATTGCTACCAGTACTACTCTAGTTAAGCTTTTCTTTACTCCCTCCCTTCCCCCATTAGTTGACAGAGATGTCAATTCTCTGGTAGATGCAGGACGAGTGTGCATATCATATTGTTGCGTCTGGATGAGTGGGTGTTTCAATGAGTGTTTGGTCGAATGATTGTTTCAAATATTAAGTCCTGCATTAATTTCGTCCTGATAACTGATGTTTCTGTCACAATTAAGGATGGGAGGGTCTTTAATACAAACACTATTTTTTTTTGTTTCTTGTAAATAAGAATTTTATGCATTGTAAATACACACTGGGGTTAGAATTTTTTGTTAGTTTCATCCCCCACCCCTCACAGACAAATTGTACATATGGGGACTAGTTAGAACTTCATAGAGACACCATGGTATTATGGTGACTGTAGTTAGTATGGTATGTAAGAATATGTTGTTTTGATCTAAGGAAAATTATAGTATATTTGGGTCAATAATTGTGACCAGCTAAATTTAAATAGCTTCACCAACCTCTTACGGCTTTGTGCCATATTTTCTGTATATAGAGAAAGAAATATCGAAGCCAGTGCAACATGAGTTACGCTTTTTTTATATATATTCACCTTGACCAGAGGAATAGTATCTAATGGTAATGATAATATTAGGCGTTTCTTTTGGTGAAAACATTCAGCATTCTTTAACTGAGCAGCCAATGGTACTCAAGTTACGCTTTTACATACTCACTGACCATTGGACTTGGTTCTCCTCATTTCTGTTTGTAATGTTAATATTAGCCATTTCCTTATAAGGAAACATTCAGTATTACTGAGTGAGCAGCCAATAAAAATGTCGCTCACAATTTATAAAATTTTTCTCTTGAAACAGTCTTTTAGGAAAATAGATTTCTCAAGTCCAGTAGCTGTTATCGCTCTTTCCAGTATTGAACGGGGGGATTCTTTCTAACCGTTTATTTGAACTTATGTGGAACGTCGACATCTTGGTTACGTCATTTTCTTTTCGAGTTGCATGTAGCATCCATTTTAGTGGTTGTTGAAAGTCTCCAAGGGATGAGGTGTCTGTTATTTTCTACAGTTTTTTTTTTTTTTTTTTTTTTTTTGGTTCTATAGCCCCAATCAGCAATGCTCAAAGAAGGACGGACTTCGACGAAAGCCTTTTTTAAACATTGACCTGAGAAATTGTTTATGCAGAGACGTGAAATATTGAGGAATAATGACGAGGAAACACGCGTTATATTTAACGATACCAGACTAGGAATTTATTCACAAATTTACACATTTGAAGTTGTCAGTAACTTGTCTCAGGAAAAAGAATCAGATATTTAAAGTTTGTAGTTTCGATGAATTATCAAGAAGAGAAAATGTTCATATTAAATCGATATCTCCAGTTACCTTGATCTATCCACTATCCTTCTCCTCATCCTTTCTTCTATCACTCCTATCTGCTCTCGCTCCAAATCTTCTGCATCCTAGTGGCCTCCCGCCTTGCTCGGGGCGTAATGCTTAAAAAAAAAATCATCGGACAAAGTAATATTCCAAAATGTTTAAAACAGATTGAGAAAGTTCGTTTTTCACATAAAAGTTATACGGTTGTATTCAACATGATTGAAAAGATATATTTTAAGGTACTTAGTTTTAGAGTTGAACAGAGTTCTTTGAAATTGCCCTGCTTTCATTAGAAGCTGATAATGTGTCAGCGTGTAATTTGACACAGGTGTTATTCAGACACGTGGACCTCTGCTTCTTTCTTCTATTTCTCATTCTCTGCCTTGATTTAACTTTCTCTGCCTTTTTATATCAAAAAGCTATTTCACATCGGCTCATTATTTTTTTTCTCAGTTTGTAAGCTGCTTCCTTTTTCATTGGTCAAAATAAATTTTCATATAGGCTCGTTAAAATTTGCCTTTTGGTTTTTTCTTCACTTCTGAGCTAATCTTTTTTTCGATTGGACGAAATAAATTTTCACATAGGCTCGTTAAAATTTGCCTTTTCTTCACCTCTTAGCCAATCTTTTTTTTCTATTGGACGAAATAAATTTTCACATAGGCTCGTTAAAATTTGCCTTTTCTTCACCTCTGAGCCAATCTTTTTTTCTATTGGACGAAATAAATTTTCACATAGGCTCGTTAAAATTTGCCTTTTCTTCACCTCTTAGCCAATCTTTTTTTTCTATTGGACGAAATAAATTTTCACATAGGCTCGTTAAAATTTGCCTTTTCTTCACCTCTTAGCCAATCTTTTTTTCTATTGGACGAAATAAATTTTCACATAGGCTCGTTAAAATTTGCCTTTTCTTCACCTCTTAGCCAATTTTTTTTTCTATTGGACGAAATAAATTTTCACATAGGTTCGTTAAAATTTGCCTTTTCTTCACCTCTTAGCCAATCTTTTTTTTCTATTGGACGAAATAAATTTTCGCATAGGCTCGCAAATTTAAAAACAGTGGAGAAAAGAGAGTTACTTTTATTTCGTATTCCCCAAAGATGACAATTTGTATATTTCTGAACGGCGCCATGCGTGACATCTATATTAAAGTCTCGTTCAGACGAGACTATTTAAGAACGGGATTCGAGATT